AACGTGCTGGAAGTAAAAGCGTCGTCAAATTTCCCGCAGATCAAGATGAAACTGTTCTCATAAGTGTATGTTGTCATGCTTGAATCTTCCTTATCATCGATTTATTGACATATTTCTAGGGAAAAGTTTATATATTTGATAAAGTTTTTCGCCCTGACGCTACCCAAGAAAAAGTTTATAATGAAGCCGCAAAAGAGATAGTCAAAGATGTGCTTAGCGGTTATAACGGAACGATATTCGCTTATGGTCAGACATCCAGTGGAAAGACACATACGATGGAGGTAAACTGCATTGAAATGGTATTTCGTTTTTTTTATTCTAATGCTGATTGTTTTTTTCAGGGTGTGATGGGTAGTGATGGTCAGCAGGGCATAATTCCTCGAATTGTGCAAGATATATTCAATCATATATATACATTAGATGCGAACCTTCAGTTTCAAATCAAAGTTTCTTATTTTGAAATATACCTTGATAAAATTCGCGATTTACTCGATGTATCCAAAACCAATCTAGCTGTGCATGAAGATAAAAACCGCGTGCCGTATGTCAAAGTATGTTCAACTCGAGATTTGTTGATTTGTTGACTGAGAACGACTCTATTTTAGGGGGTGACTGAACGGTTTGTTTCGTCGCCTGATGAAGTTTTCGAGATCATGGAAGAAGGAAAAAACAATCGACACATTGCTGTCACGAACATGAATGAACATAGTTCTCGTTCACATTCAGTTTTTCTTATTCATGTTAAGCAAGAAAATGTGGAAAATGAAAAGAAATTAACTGGAAAACTTTACCTAGTTGATTTAGCGGGAAGTGAAAAAGTTTCGAAAACCGGGGCCGAAGGTCAAGTTCTTGATGAAGCTAAAAATATTAACAAATCTTTATCTGCACTCGGAAATGTCATTTCAGCATTAGCTGATGGAACTGTATGTGTCGAATAGTTCATTTGTTGTTTTCTTCAACTTCGCCATTCTCTTTTTAGAAATCTCATGTACCATATCGTGATTCGAAATTAACGCGTATTTTACAAGAATCGTTAGGTGGTAATGCTCGTACAACTATAATCATCTGTTGTTCACCGGCTAGTTTCAATGAATCTGAAACGAAATCGACACTTGAATTTGGCAAAAGGTTTGATCAGTTGATTTCGGGCGGATTCATTCTAAGTATTTCCTTTTGCTTATTCAGAGCCAAATGCATTAAGAATTCAGTTACGGTTAATGAAGAATTAACTGCTGAAGAATGGAAACGTCGATGGGAGAAAGAAAGAGAGAAGGTTGCAAGATTAAAAGGTCAACTCAGCCGAGCAGAAATGGAGCTGGAACGATGGCGACAAGGTGAATCATTTGATAATTTCCCAAAAAAACAACATATCGACAAGATTTTTTCTTTCTTTTCTTCAGGCGAAACCGTGAACAAAGACGAACAAATTAATCTCAATGAAACTGACGAAACACTTTCGATCACTCAATCAACAATGTCACTTTCAACTGTCGCCTCAACAGCTCTTAGTCCAACATCTACTGCGAATGCACTGGCTGTGACCAATCTATTGGGTGGGCCTGATCTACGCGCATCCATCAATGCCGATGAATGGGAAAAAGAACGCAGTGCACTTTATCAACAATTAGACGAAAAGGTAAGAATACTTGATAAGTGTCGAATTAGAATCGGTTCTTATGTTTTCTTTTTTCAAGGATGACGAAATCAATAATTTAGCACAAACGATCGAGCGATTGAAATCTCAAACAACTGATCAAGATGAAATCTTTAGTCAGGCTCGTAAAGACAATGAAAATCTTCAAGCAGAGCTAAATCGTCTTCAACAAGAAAGTGAATCAGCTAAAGAAGAAGTCAAAGAAGTTTTACAAGCGCTCGAGGAACTGGCTGTTAATTACGACCAGAAAACACAAGAGGTGGAAACTAAAAGTAAAGAAAATGAAACATTAGTTCAAGAACTCGACGCGAAATTGGTTTGTTCAGATTTGCATAATTTTTTTCTGAGGAAGGAATTTTCTTTCGTATAAAATAGGCTTCGTTGAATGGTATTCGAGAAGAACTGGAAAGTCTTCGGGAAGCATCGCAAACTCAACGTAAACGGTTTCTGGATATGATTTTAGTACTGTTACGCGATGTGGGTGACATTGGCGGCATCATGGGCGGACAAATGAATGAACAAAAGGTGTGTTTGTTTTCCTCAAAACATGAATGAACTTGACAATTGTCGATTTTTAGAAACCAACGATTGAAAATCTTGACCAAGCAGAAGAGGAATTTACTTTAGCACGTCTTTACATGAGCAAATTAAAAACGGAGTCACGAAGCATCACAGCAGTATGTTGTTACTTGTTGTAAATGAATCGAACATTTGTTCGTTGTAGCGTTTGAGCGAACTTGAAGTCGAAAAAGTTGACCATCAGAAAGGTATTGGATTGAAAGATAAGGAACTAGACGAAGCACGATTATTAATCCAACAACACGAAGCGAAAATGCGCTCCATGCTCGAATCAATCAAAGAATTAGAAGAGAAGAAGCGTACTTTAGAACAAACACAAGATTCACTCAATGAAGAACTAGTCAAACTTCGTGCACAAGGTAAGAATCATGTTTGCTAGACACAAATATCACACGTCGGCATCAATCCTATTTACAGGCAGTGTTGCTGGTTCGACATCCGATGTTCAAAAGGAACTAAGTCAACAAATGGAACAAATCAGTGAGCAGCATCAAAAGCAATTGACAAGTTTACGTGATGAAATTCGTACAAAAGAAACCCAGATGGAGACTTTAAAAGAGTAAATCGAATGTTTGACATTGTCTATATTCTGAATTCCTTGTTTGTTTAGTTCTTTACAAAAATTAGAATTAGCTTATGACAAATTATCGAATGATCATGAGAAATTGAAGAAAGAAGAAACAGATAAGTCCAGTCGATTACAAGAAATGACGTAAATAAGAAATGAAGTTTGTCGAAAGATGGAATTTGTCTGTTTGCATTTTAGTTTACAACAAGAGCGTCGCGAACAAGCCAAACAGGATTTGAAAGGTCTTGAAGAAACAGTTGCAAAGGAATTACAAACATTACATAATCTACGCAAATTATTCGTCCAAGATTTACAAGCACGTCTGAGAAAGGTTTGATGCCTCTTTTCACATCTGACAATCTTCATTCCCTTCTCTTCTATAACAGTCTCAAAAACAACCGGAAGCAGAAGAAGATGATTCAGGCGGTAGTGCTGCTCAGAAACAAAAGATTTCATTTTTGGAAAACAATCTCGATCAACTGACTAAAGTTCATAAACAGGTAATCCGAAAACCTCGTGAATCTTCTAGTTTTCTCATCCATCTCATAGCTTGTGCGTGAAAATGCTGATCTTCGATGTGAATTACCAAAATTAGAAAAGCGTCTTAAAGCTACAATGGATCGTGTTAAGTCACTTGAACAAGCACTAAAAGAAGCAAAAGAAAGCGCAATGAAAGATCGAAAACGCTACCAATGCGAAGTTGATCGTATTAAAGAAGCTGTCCGACAACGCAATCTTGCTCGTCGTACCAATGCTGCTCAAATCGGTAAATCACATCTCATTACCATTCTATAGAAAACTGAACTTCCGTTTCGTTTCAGTAAAACCAATCCGTGCTGGAGTCAATCCATCGACTAATAATGCTTCGACACCAATTCCAACGATTCGTGGTGGTAGTCAATCTACGGATCAGTAAAAGAAGCAATGTATCCGTTTTTAGGCAAACGATAATCTCGAACAATTCTGAACAATATTAATTATTCTTTCTTTCGTTTTTATTTCTTTGCACATAGACATAAAACTTTGTTTTTAACATTTCTTTTCGAGAGAATTTATACTTTTCTTCGTATTTATATGACTTTGACAATATCTTTAGAAAATATCTACATATATTTCAATTTTTTCTGCAATAACGACAAACAAAAACAAAAAGTATTTGTCTGTATCTCATGAGAATAACATACAAGACACTTTCTTTCATCAATCGCCTAGCGAATATGAACTTTTTCTGTATCTATAGGTGTTTGAACAGTCCCTTTCGTGTGTGCCTATCTAAAATCTCTTTCCTCGAGGATAACTCTCAAGATATGTTCTTTTTCTCGATGTGTGTGTTCATCGCCTTTCTCTTTCTCTCTCTTGATATGCTGTTGTTGTTTCGAATCCTTTTTTTTTATACAAGTTAGTGTTTCTTATTCATATTCGCACTTCTCGTTTCTTCTTCTTTTCGTTTCTCACGAGCATTTTTATTCGGCTTTTCTTTCTAACATTCTTGACAAAACAACATATGTAATAAAAACCCAGAACTACGCGGAGAGTGTTTATCGAAGTTCCTTTCGAATAGTTGTAATTCATTGAGTAGATTTTGATCAATTTAGAAAACAGAGTGGTACGAAATAATTTCAGCTAAACATTCAACGAGTACCTGTATTATATAACGAAAGGAAATGACATGCGCATTTTCTCAAAGTCGACACTTAAGAGCGTTGAAAGTCTCGCGTGCTTAGAAATATTTGATGTGTATGTACTTGGAATAATGATACGCATCTCGATGAAGAAAGCTGCCTACGTTTAGAATATCGAGATGGTCGTACAACGAGACACAAGTTTGATTGTGTAACGTTGGAGTCGTGATGTACGCAGTGGAAGAAATCAATGTTCGGCCATCATCAATGGAAAACTTTGTATACATGCAATGCTAGTATCGTTTAATCTGCTACTTACGAATCGCTGTAAGGCAAACATGCAGAATCCCAGCTCCTAAGATAGTAACTCATCTATATAATGATGGATGCATCGAGACCAGAACGTAAATCTCGAAATCTTACCTAGTACTTTACTCAATCTACTGTGAATCGAAGAAGAAGAGAAGTAGAAGAAAAAGAAAAACTCCAGTTGAATAGCATCATATATCTTTTGAATAATCTTACTCATGAAACATTTTCCTTATCGATAATACGTTTTTACTTCTCTGACAACTCAATGAATACCTCAAGTGAATACGAAGATAAAAACGAGGAATATCTTCATCCATTTTGGTTAGGTATCTTACTTCTATTCGCTGTGATCACTATTCTCAGTATCTTATGTTTTATACGAAGAAAATGTGGTTCACAGATAATGCGTTCATGCAAAATATTCTTCTGCGGAACTGATTATGGTCTTGGTGAGTACCAGAATACTCTTGAAACTGTTATCAATGCATTTCCTTTAGAAAATCGAGCGAAGAAAAGATCGAAGCAATTATCAATAGCAGGCCCATATAATTGGGCACCTGCTTATAATCCCGTGCCGAATCTCTCGCCGAAATTGTATACATTGATTCGTAATATGCAAATGAATAGCTTCGACAGAGAAGCATCGTTTCGACAAAGGACTGTCGATGAAGACGATGATGTGCATGATGTGTTCACAATTCCTGATGAATCTGAACAGATGAAAGTAGATAAAAGATAATTTGATTAGCCGATGATGAGTGTTTATGTTGTCTTTGTAGACACCCTCGAGTGAGAAAACTTCGGAAACAAAGCAAGAACGTAATTGCGAAACAGCACGCAAATTCTATGCAAGCATGCGCCATTCAGCTCGACATGTCAATTCTTCCTCGAATGATAGTGGTAGCAATGATTTGTTTTCACTTACAAATGATCGCAGTGTCCAAAACAATTCCAATGATCATATCAAGTTTTTTCGTAACACACGATTCTTTCAATCCATCACAAAAAGTACGCGCTAGGATCGACGTGCTGATGCTGGAAAACGAAAGAGTAATTTTCTAGAAATGATTTATATGAAATAAATACAATCGACATTGTGTATGTTTGATCAATAGTCTGATATCTATCACAATGATATTCTGTTTGTAATCGCCGTCATGCAATATGATTGAACAAATCGATGCAAGATGTGTTGATTAAATGATTGATGAAGTTGCTCTCAGCACATTCGCCGTAGTTTTCACTCAATCTCTCAACGCAGCTCGAGTTTATTGAAAATGTTCATCTATCTTTCTTTTTCTTCTTCTTCTTCTTATTATTATTATTTGATTTCTATTTCTATTGACCTACGTCCACAAGTCAGCAATATCTAAAGAGGAGAAGGAGAAGAAACAAGCCATGATAGACATAGACAAAAGCTCACAGACAAAATCAATAGATAATATTAGAAAAAAGAAAACAACGAATGTTTGCACTGTTTAAATGTTAATTCAAGATAATTTTTATCTAGAAGGGTTTGCACAAGACATGAACACACAAACAAAAAGCAAACGAAAACGAATGTTTGAAGAAAAAAAAATATGAGAAAGAAGGTCATGTATTAGTACCATTACTACCCGTGACTACTTCAAAATTTTTGACAAGTTCACTAACCGGTCGTCGTTCATATGTTGTTGTCTCGTTATCAGTCGATGCTGCTAGTGCTGTCGGAACAGATGCTTGTTGAATAGTAGTTTTAATCGTTTCATTTCGAACTTTAACCGTTATGACTTGAACACTTTGCTCCATGATTTTCTCACCCGATGTTGGATGATTGGAGAATTCAGATTTGGTTATAACTTTCAACGTTGTTGTTTGTTCATCATCATTCGATGGATGCTCATCGTAGGATTCTGTTACAAAACGGCGTGATTGTTCGCCATCTCGCGATTCCGAATGGATAATTTCTGTGTATGTCACGTTATGACTTGGCGATTTGACCTTTGTTTGAGTTTCAACTGGAGTTACGACAGTTGCTGGCGGTGACATAGCGCCAACTGATTCATCGAGAATTGTGCGATGTTCTTCGATAATTTGACTGATCGATGCAGGTATTTTCTCTGGTGCATCAGAAGTGACGACAGGCGGTTGACCTTCTTCCTCAATTTTGCCTGATGATGTCGATATACCAAGTTTTGTAACAGATGTTGTTAAATTTGGATTGGATAGACCTGTTTGAGTTAAATGCGCTAATTCATCTAGTGACATTTGTTTGATGAAATCATATCGATCTTTACTAACAGCTTCGTCAGTAGAAATGAACGATTTCGGACGATTTTCGCTGCGTAATTTAACTTTGTGATGATGAGAAGGAGCTGGAGGAGGAGATGATGTTGCAATTGAATCATTAGATAGCGGTGATGTTAAACCAAGTGAATACGACGATAGCTGTTTAGTTGAAGTCGTTATGGTCGATAAACTTTCTTTGGATTCGAATTTCTCTCCGTGTGCTTTGATTTCTTTAACCATTCGTTCGATAGGACCTTCTAATTCTTCTTCGTGTACATCACTAGGAGCAACGACTTCTTCAGTCGCGTGTTCTAACGGCGGTATGGTAGTTCCGATTTCATTACAAGTTGTTACTTCGACTACATCCATCATTAATTCATTTATTTCATCGACAGCTTCGACAAGTTTTGGTTGGATGTCATTTTCACTCACGTCAACTTCTTTCTCATCAGATGATAACTGTTCAGCAACGAGTTTTTGTTGTTCAGCCATTTGACGAATAATTTCAGCGAGGTGAAATGTGGGATCAATAGGTGCTGATGGTGCTGGTTGTTCTGTTGGTAGAGCTGTCTGTTCTTTAGAGAGTGACTTAGGTAAAGGAGCATTTGTAACGCCATATTGAAGGATCAATGGTGTTGGCGGAGATGTTTTTTGAATAGGGCTCCCTACTTGTACTTCTTGCACATGTTCAGATATAGTTGCCAATGTTGTAGGTGGTGCTTGATAAACTGCTTCAAGTCCTTTGAGAGCAGCATCGATCGAACGACGAAAATCATCAGTAATCTCATTTTCGTCAAGTAATTTTGACGGTGATGCGCTTGTTGCTGATGAGAATAAAGTTGAATTAGTTTTTGCTGTTGTTGTTGTTGTTGTTGTCGTGGTCGTCGTCTTTGGGCGCAGTTTGACTTCGGTAACAATAATTGAACGAAGAAGATTACCATCATGATTGACTGTCTCATCATTTTCATCTAAAATTCGAACATCATAACCACCATGTGGATTAGCGAAGATAGCAGCTTGTTTGCCCTATTCAAAGTATGAGAAACCGATCGTCAGATCAATTAATTTCTTTCAGCTTAACTTTTACCTTATAGAAAAGCACACGTGCTTTCTCTAACGCTTCTTTCAGAGCGATACCTGGTTCACCTGATAATACTTGGGGGCTGTTATTTTCTGACGTTGTCGCACCATTTGTCAGCTAAATAAAATATTATTCAATTACTCGGCTGGAGAAAAATAAACATCCTTTTCTTTTCTCTTACTTCATTCGTAGTCAATTGTTGATCAGTCTCTAATTGAATAC